AGAGGCGGGGTCAGCGCCGCGGCCGCGGGGGCAGCGACGGCGCCGGGCAGCGGGAGCCGCGGCCGCGCCATGTGGCTGCTGGGGCCGCTGTGCCTGCTGCTGAGCAGCGCCGCGGGTGAGTCGGAGGGCGTCGGGCGAACTTCCTGCGGGGCGCGGGGCGGGGGCGCGGCGGCCGGGCGGCCATCGCGCGCCCTCCCCGCGCCGGGGCTGCGTCTCCCGGGCGGGCGTGCACGGAGGGCGGCCCCCGGCGCCGGGCTGGCCGGGACCCGGGCTAGGGGGCCGCGGCGGGGTGCGCGCCGTCCTATTGTGTGGGCGTGCGGGCCGGCTGGTGCGGAGTGCTGTGTGCGCGGGTGGGGCTTTGTGTGCAGCCCGGCTCCGGGGAGCCCAGCTACTGCCTCGATTGGGCGTAGCTTCAGTGTGTGTGTGTGTGTGTGTGTGTGTGCGCGCGCGAGTGTGTTGTGTGTGTTGGGGAAGGGAGGAGGGGACGGGAGGAGAGGGGAGAGAACTCCTCCTTGATCCCCTCTCCCCAGCCTCCCTGTGCTCCGCGCTGTGCGAGCCTCCCCAGGGCCTCTTCCCGCATCTGTCGCGTGCACCCTTGTGCCTCAGTTTCCTCCTTGGACGTCGGGCGGGTAACATCGCCGCTTCTTTCCACTCCTTCCTGGGACTGTGTTTGGCTTAGGTAAAGAGAGATGAAGCAGGGCTGGACCTGGGAATTATTAATCTTTCCCATTGATCCTGGGAGCAGAACGTTTATTTGACATCTGACCACCCCGACTTGTCCCTCAGCGGGCACCCTGACTGACGAGGTGCCCATGGGAGTGCACCCGGGCTTCATCTGGCGGCCCTTTGAACCTGGCATCACCGTGGTGGTGCATCCTGAGGTCCTGGGAGGCAGCAAGCCTCTTTCCCTTCGTGACAGCGTGCTGTCCCCTGGAACTTTTCTGCTGATGTGGGCACGCTCTGAATTCCAGCCCAGGAGCCCTTCCTCCTCTGCCCTGGCCCGCTGGCCACAGCTGTCAGCTGCCCTCCTCGGCTCAGCCCGCCCCCTGACGTTTATTTCTGGGCAGCTGATGCCCAGAAAGTGGGTGACAGGGCCCAATGAACTTTCTTCAGCGGAAGCTTGCTTGCCTGACATTTGTGCTATCCACGTATCTAATTTATGCCTGATTTCCCCAAGTGCTTGTAGCTGTCTGCTGTGGAGGTGTTGGTGGTGCTGTGTTTGTTGGGAAGTTGAGGCTTGCTTCATTCTGAGCTGCCTGCCCCCCCAACATGTGCATTTGGAAAGAGAAATCTCCCACCTTCCTTGAAGTCCCCTGTTCTGGCCATCCTCAGAATCCACTGGGCAGCCTTTCCCCTCTCAGACTTATGACATCATCCCTGCTCCTGGAGACCCCATTTTGATGTGGGTTTGCTGTGCCTTTCCGTGAGTGTGGAATGGTGGTGGCTACTGTGGGTTTTCAGCCAAGTCTGGGGGAGAGTGCCCTGTTTCTCCTGAACTATCAGGCCACACCAGGGAGGGAGTCCAAGGGGGCATTGGCAGCTACAGGTAAGTGTGAATGATTATGTGGGGGCTGCTAGAACAGGCAGCTTTCTGGGCATCTCAGATAGGAAGACGTGCCTGAGTTCATGCTCTCCATGTACGGAGCCGGGATAGGTCCCATGATAATACCCAAGTAGGACAGTCCAGAAGCTGGCTGGCTCTTGTATGTGTCCTGAGTTGCCTGTGGCTCAGTGGAAACTTATTTTTTGCAGTTCCCAGTTGGTACTGGGTTGCTTTGGTGGAGTCTCCATGTCTGTAAAAATAGCTGTAAAGTTAATTTTGTCCTTCTCTGGTCAATGCTGGTTATTTAATATGTGTGTACATATAAAATAGGGTTCAATAAACAGAATGGGGATAGAGAGATTGGGGGTCATGGAACTGCCTGACTTGTCCCGGTGGTGGTTTTCCATTCTCTGTGGTCACTGCACCTGTGTGGCTTTGAATCACAGTTGCTGATTTAGAAACTTCTGGGCAGGTTGGGGTAGTGTGCATTTTTTGTGTTACATTAAGCGTCATCTTTTTGGCATGAATCCCGCATTGACCCACAGTGTTACCAGAAATAGGTTCGGTCATTTTTCTTGATGCCACTGGGTGCCCCTGGCCTCCCAGCCCAGAGAGAAACCTGTGTGGTTCAGTTTGCGGTTCATAGTGGGAACAGAGGCTCTACCCTTCTATCCCATATCCAGCTTCTTGATCCTCTTCTGGAAAGTTGAAACAAGAGAGATTATAAAAGCCAATACTTCGGACTGCTGACTCCCCTTTGAGAGTTTGTGGAGAAAACGGGGGTCTGTTGAGCCCTACTCTCAGTTCTGGGTCTTTGCAGGGCTGGAAGGCCACTGACATGTCAAGAGCAATTTGGAGGCCTTTATTATTCAGGAACCTTCTCAGACACCTCTTTGTGTTTTCTTTTTCTTCCTTTATGTTGTTTGTATCAGGGAAGTGAAGCATCGATTTTTAGCTGTTATTTTTTTAATGTGTCCTGTGAGAAAGGCTTGGCCCATCCAACGTCCAGGTTTTCTTCACGTGGTGGATTTGCTGGGTTTCAGCGCACAAATGGTGAGACATGTCTAAAGGTGGCCATGCCCGCAGGTAGTCAGCCTCACCTCCTCCTGGGCTGACCTTGGCTACCACTCCCTGACATTCTCTTTCTGTCAGTGAACCCGCTTGATTTTAACCCCATGTGTACTCCCAGGAGTGTGAGTACTGACCTTTTCTCCTGGAAAGATCTACTTAATGGCGTGAGCGGGTGGGTTGTATTATGATTTTTAACTAGCTGAGGAGCCTCGCGGGCCAGCCCCGTTAGAGGAGACTGGGCACTGTGCACCCAAGTACAAATAAACACACCTTGTTGCTTTTCATCTTCAAAGAGAGGGGACAAAGGCTCCCTCCTGGCCTGTGAGGGGTTTTTATCTGATGGCCCACTTAGGCCTCTGACCTTGATAGGCGTGGGGGAGGAGCGGCAATGTGAGTAGGAAAGGGCAGGGTGGTCAATTCCGGGACTCCAAGACTGACATAGACACCTTTTTTTTTTTTTTACCACAGTCCCCAGGGTACCTTGAAAGTGAGCTTGTATCTCACCTTCATGAACATTTTAGAGAATGTTGGCATTAGGAGAGTTGGTAGTCAAATAATCTCACGTTAAAAGACTTGACCTTTACAGCCTGGTCTGTTTGCATGGGCACAGGGAGTAAAGGGGACCCCATATTTATGGCACATGTATGTGTGAGATGCTTTGCTTGCCACTTTAAACGCATGATCTTGTTGAGTTTTTCCAAGGATACTGTGTGGCAGGAAGTCATTTTATGGCTTAAGAGATCCTTTAGACCCAGGATGCCAGAGTGAGGACTGAAGCTTGGATACTAACTCTGGCTTATTGTTTGCAGGAATCATGCGCGCAGCCTCCATGCCTTTCCTCCTACTTGCTTTTGTGAATTTAACAGTCAATGAAATTGTTTCCATAAACACCCCTCCTCCCTGAATCTGTTCACTTTGTGGTCACTGCTGTGAACTTAAGCGGTTGGTGTTCATGGGAAATACATAAAATAAATCTCAGTCCTTGAGGAAAGATGGAACTTTTCAAAATAGCATGATGTATGTATGCATGATGGGGAGGCATTATGCTTGGCAGGAAGATACCATGGGCCACGGTTGGATTTCTTGCCCTGAATTGTAGTCACTTGGGGGGTTTGTTTTTATTCATTGAGATCTCTTTGTATATATTCTCCCTTTTCTTTTCTTTTCTTTTCTTTTTTATTTTTTAAGTAGGCTCCACGTCCAGTGTGGAGCCCAACTCGGTGCTCAAACTCACAACTCTGAGATCAAGACCTGAGCTGAGATCAAGCACTGGATGCCTAACCAATGGAGCCACCCAGGAGCCCCTTCCCTTTTTCTTATACATTTATTATATTTTACAGTTAAGAAAATGAAAGCTACTATATGACATGGACCGATGGAACTAGTCTTAGTGATGAGATAGTCCCCGGGGACAAATTTTGTTTTTTAGATCCCCCAGGAGCTATTTTTGGTTGTGGTGTTTTCTTGTTTGTTCTCTTTTCCTCTTTCTCTCTTTAGAATATTTTGGAAATGCTTGGGCCATCTGGACTGGGTCGTTTTTTTTTTTTTTTTTTTTTTTTTGCCAGTGTCTATACCTAACCACCAAGGAGATTTTTAAGATGGTTGCTCCTGTGTGTGTGTGTGTGTGTGTGTGTGTGTGTGTGTGTGTGTAAAGGGGCCTTTCTTTCTTTGTAATTGTTGTAGAAGAATCTACTCTTTTGGATACTGAGGAGTGCCTTTAAAAATGTTGGCTGAGAGAGCGGCCAGGTACTTTGAAGATGCAGCATTTGCTTGTCGCATCACTTGCTTGACGTTGAATATTGCTTACTGGGATAAGTGGACTTCTGTGATACAGCGACTGCTCAGAGGGATGGCAGATGTTTATTCCAGGCTGGGCTGTGAGAGTTTCTGGACATGGTTGTGGGGATGGGGTTGGTCTAGTGCAGGGTTTCCCAGCCTCTGTGCTCCATTTTGGGCTGCATAGTTCTTTGTTATGGGGACTGCCCTGCCATTCCAGAATATTTAGCAGCATCACTGGTTCTAGATGCTTCCTCCTCCTCCTCACTTCCCGTAGGAGGTTTGGTTTGTGCCAACCAAACATGTCCCCAGACGTTACCAAATGCCCTCTGGGGGCGCAGTCACCCCTGGTTGAGAACCCGTGGTCCAGTGTGAGTAAGCCCCCTCACCATGCATCTTGAGCATTGTGACTGCTCATCCTAGAAATGTCTTCTAGATGCACTGGGTCAGGGTGGCCTCCTCCTTCCAAGGGGTCTTTTAATCATCTGGTTTCTGCTTTCTGTTTGCACCGCCCCACAAGTTCAGTGGGAAAGTACAGTCGTAACTAGACATGCCCAGCACTGCCCCCGTTTTCTCTCACTTCCCCTTGTATCATAGTGAAAACTTCTGGAATTTTAGACTGTAGATTCGGTTCTCTGGGGAGAGACTCCGCAAGGAAGGTGACGGCTGATGACCGAAGCCACCTGGTTCCCTGAATGTTAAACCGGGGAGGCTCGCCCTGCCTG